AACTGTTCAGGTTGCAGTGCTTCAGTACTTCGTGGTCCTGGTTCATTTCCGCGGTAAGAGGTGATCGTGTTTCTCTCGCTTTTGTGGTACATATTACACAAATTGGAGCTGCCTCGCATAGAATTCTTCCGAATTCCGGGAGTTAAACGTTGCTGCTTTCAGCGCGTAATCCAACCGAACGGTTGGGTAACACAAAGTATCAAGTTTAAAGGAATATCCCATGGAAACTGTCTAGTGTGATGCGGTTCGTATACACCATGATTAACTGGGTCGAATGTAAATCAACGTGACAAAATGTGTAGGCATACCGTTAAGTACAAGTGGAAAATGGCTACTCAGATTTGATCTATCAGTTGTCTCACATTGCAGGTCGGATTCCCATCCGGTGTTACATGTTATGCCTAATTTATCGGGGTCTGATGTAGTCTACCACACCAAGTCCCGTGGTTTTGATTGCCGGTTTCCATTGAATGAATATCTGGTCTTCTTAGCTATGAGGTTTACCCCCTTCTGGTGTTCATCACACCAGTGTGTTTTTGTCATAATAACCGTGTTTGCAACGCCGGGTGACCATTGGATAGACAGCTCTTTCAGAGCCAGTCCAATGAAGAATCAATGCTATGATTCGATGTTTTGTAAGTGGGTTAGATGCTACTAACCGCAACAAACGTGACCTGATGGTCTTGGTGGAATATTTGATAATAAGTAGTATGTGAATGACTGGACAAAAATACACTTCCTGGGTACAAGTATATGAATGAACTGACAGAAGATTACCGGATACGCATGCCTGACGAGCGGCAAGAACCGCGAAACCGGTTGTGTGCTTCCAGGGAAATTTTGTTCAGTCATTCACATACTACTTATTATCACACCAGTGTGTGACAAGAAGGCTCACACTGGTGTTCAGTGTATTACTCGTGAACAACACCTTCCCCGTGGAACTCGGCTACAAAACATTTTGCAGTCATTAGCCACACCGGCGTGCTTTGGACCCTATGGTCCGAAGTTCGAGCCCCAGTACCCAACTTTGGTGGTAGGCAGCTCTGATGTCGTCGGGTTCAATACCACGCCTAATCTATCTTGGCCTTGTGGTCCGCCACTCCATCTCCTGGGACTTGGGTTGCCGATTTCCGTCACTGAAAAGCAGGTCCTCCTGACTATGCGGTTCACCCCGTCTGCTGTTCATCACAGTCAGATGTGCAATAAAAAACATGCAAGCAATTTCGTAAAACTCTCCAAAGTGTTGTTTTTTGGATTTCAGGATTTTTTAAGTTCAATTAAGGTTTCAAAGTAAATATCGTATCCGTTTGATACCAGTTTAACCAATTTGGCTGGTTCATTAGAGGGCTTAGCATACATGACATCGGTTGAAAAATACCCCCGCTCGTTATCTGCGATTTTACGGTCATAACTGCGTCGTAACAGCAGAATCCAAAACGGAATCATGTATCTACTACAAATCCGTGCATACCATACCTGTCATGAAAAGCCTCATTTTTGTCTGAACACTGTTCACATTCGGAATATCGTGTTCGGTTTTGGTCATTCAGTTGTGCACGCGCACCACACATTGTTAATAACGCTTGATGATAATAGTTGAGATCTGAAATAGGATCAACATTGATCGCGAAAGTTTCTGTCTAAAAATTTCATCGAGGATAGGGTAACTTCCAGAAACTTGAAAGTGTTCAATGTCCGCGGGCACCACCTAAAATCGATAGTTTTGCGTTGCATTTCGGTTGCCACCGGAATCGCTGTCACATCGTACCGTACCGGTAAGCTTTAAACTCAATCGAAAATCTGAGGCAATAAGTTGATCCGAGAGAGAGCGACATCGTAGTGGATGATCACGCAGACCAAATGAACTAACCCGATTGATAACGTGTTGAGATAATATTGCTAAAAATCTGAAGTCTTGCATCACGAATGATCTTTGCCATCATTGGCATGAAGCCTCGCTCGTATACATGATCTATAGGGTGTGCAACTGTGTTGCTGTGACCGCTATAGGTCAGCAAGTTCGAACATCGACGAGATCGATGTGCACATTACTCGAGAAAACTCTGATTGGGCAGAAATTAATTCAGCTTACAATTGATTGCTTTTCCACCGATTGCTTGTGGATCAGTTTGGAAAGAGGGGAACGGTCACAGGAAAAAAACTGTTATCTGGTTAGCGACTGCATTGACTGTTTGCTTCCTAGTTGAGACAGACAGGACACTCGAGCAATAACCGAAGTCTAGTTAATTCGAGTCAAAATAAACTTGCTCCACTCAATGATCACCCGAATGCGGCTTAATTTTCAAAACGTGTATTGTCTTTATTTCTGGGCTTGCTCAACGATGAAGTGCTCCATGTTCTTGAGAAAGACGATACCACCATAGCTTTCATCATCGGTTTGCTCACTCGCAAAGTATTGGTTTGATTATAGATCAATTCGTTCTTTTCGAACGAACTGGGATTGTGATAGACTCGGTCTATTAGGCGAGGTGTGGTGGATTCTTGATAGACTGGTGGTGCCGCCTGAAGACAATGTCCTTTTCAAGGAAACTCGTTGCTAGGGCTAGCCAAAGTTAAATTTAATCATGAGGACTATAAACAAGCTGATACTTCTCTTGTACTCAAAAGTCCTTCGCGTATTCCACTATTTAATTCATTGATTGGTCTAGGGGAGAATTCCAAGTGCATGTTGACGGCAAAAGATTGAATTTAGCTCCTAAGTCAACAGTGTGCAAACATTATTATTTAATGGATGTTCGCTGAGGTGTACATTGGGTGGTAACCTAGTACCACTATTTTGAATAGGCTTTACATAAGATATATATTACAGAATAAAAGAAAACGGGTCATTCAGTTGTTACAATTTCGTCATGGAATCATCCCTTGAAATTGAATTACTTTTGTGACCGGTCTTGAATATCACGTTGTCTGCTTGTCTCTCGTGCAACTATGCGCTGTCATTTCCGTGTTTGGTTCTCGCATGTCTACATTATTCCTCAGTAAACGGTTTTCAGTAATCCCTATTTTCGTCACGTTCACCGTTATCCCCTTGTACAGATTGTGATCGTGCCGTGTGGCATCACGAACAAGAGCTCCGCGGAGGAACGTGACAGTCTTGTCACTTATGCACTCCACGTGAGCGAAATACTTCGAAAAGACAGTGCACAATTCCGTGTGCATTGTGACGACCGCACACATGTCTCTCCCGGTTGGAAATTCAACCACTGGGAAATGAAAGGTGTCCCCGTCCGGCTCGAGGTCGGTCCACAGGAGATGGCCAATCAGTCCACATGCTTGGTGCTCCGACACAATCGAAATAAAGTCAGTCCAATCTGTTCTGGCGGGTTAATTTTCGGAAAGCAGTTCGTCACGGTCGGTCCGATGCGGCCTTGTACTTTGTAGTCTAATGTGTAAAATGCATCGGGCCATTGTGTTCAACGCATGCGCTGTTTTCTTTCCACCTCATTGCTTGTCACTATAGTTTTCCATTTCCAGGACATTTGAATACCGCCGAAGCACCGAAGCACTTAAGGCCGCGCTAGAAACAGGGTTTAGCTTTCCATTGGTGATCTTTCAAACGAGCATAACCAATAGATTTTTAACCAACTACAATCACTTGCAATCCGAACCCAGTGCCACACTTCTTGTATACTCTTGGTTGCTTGCATCTAGGCATATATTATTTATACGTAATATATTGGGTACATTTCTCGATATAGTCTCAATAGAAACGTGTTTTCCTATCTGTTCCACGACTTCCCACTAGCACCTGCTTTTACCCATTGTTTGATCTACCATCCGTTGTAGCTTACTGTTCCACTGGCCGAACTGTGTGCCAAAATGCCTCATATTCTGGATGATATACACAACGATCTGTTGAGAAAAGCCACGGACGAACTGGCTGGTCACGTGGTCCAGGCCGATTCGTTGGAGCAGTTGTGCTCCGCCTTGGATGCCAAATCCTTGGCATTGGCACCGTTCTGTGGGGATTCAGATTGCGAGGAATTTATCCGTCACGAGTCAGCCAGGTAAGACGCTTGCGGCTGCTGCTTTTGTTTTCCACTTTCGGGAACCGGTGTCTATTCCTGGGAGCTGAGTATCTTGCGTTCGCCTAGGATTATGAATACACGCGATCCTGATAGAGTCGCCATGGATGAAACCTCGAAATTACCGCGACCACATCATATTATTTCACTATTACCAAAACACAACCGATTAAGAGATTCCCATGTATCTGCACATGTTCATCTGTTCATACGCACATGCCTTCTCTCCCCCCTCCTGTTTTCCAGGAACATCATTGTTGAGCCTGGTGCACCTTCAATGGGAGCGAAGAGCTTGTGCATCCCGTTCGCGTGTGCGTTCAACAGCAAACTTGTTTGTGGTACACCACCAGCCGGGACGAAATGCTTCAATCAACCGCACTGTTCTCGTCCGGCTCTCGCTTACACCCTGTTCGGCCGAAGCTACTAGCTAATCACGGAGGCTGTCTTCGTCGTCGTCATCCCACGAGTGCCCGAACACGGTCGTCGGATGTGACTATTGAAACCGAAAACAATGCTACCCGTGTTAAACCGGATTGCACTGTACGTTCCCGCTGAAAAATACACGCATGCCCTGTGTGCCTTCTCGTTGGATCACACACTCTCTTTCGTCCTCTTATACAGGTTTTGACTTAGACACAGACACTGTACTAGCCCAAGTGCAATCGACTTAACAGTAATGCATGCATACCGCCTACACATAATCGGTTTTCGTCATCGTTGAAGCCCAAATGTTTTGCCACAGTACAGCCTAGGTTTTTCCATCGGTTTTGTCTCCCAGTTCGTTCGTCAGTTGGTCATCATTTATCGGCCCCTGCAAACACGTATTCCCCCTAAGCCACACATGAATATCGCAAATTTATCTTTTCTCATTGTCAGTTAAAAAAAGTGCTCGGGTTTTGTTCTGAAGAGCTATCATACAAAAATGGGTATACTGTGCGTTCGGTGTAATTGCTAGGACTTAGAGGTAAAAATACGCTCAGCAATCTTCAAACGTTGTGCCCTGTAGTCCGACAAGAGCGCACCAAGAGGGTCTTGCCCATCGTCACCGGTATGGTTCGTCGTCTCACGGGGCAAGGTTAACCGTGATTCCGCATTGAGCTGATTGATGGCCGCCGCTATGCGACTGTTTACCCGTTGTCTGAGACTATCCGTCTGTCACGGGAAGGGGGAATAGGAAAAGAAGAACAGTACAGAATAACACAAAGTTTTGCGCTTGGAAATCCTCAGTCTTATTGTGTGGATTTCACCGTTGCTAACGAATGATGGCACCGTGATTAGGTGTGCGTTTGATTTCACTGCTGTTTCAACCAGTTGCGATTGTAATGTATCACAGTGTACCGATAACGTAGGTATCACTAGAACTAGACTAAAGCCACGGCACTATTGGAATGGGTGTCCGTCACACATACAAAGGATCATTCGGGTCATTTGGATCGTGAGATTGTTTACCAACCGGCTTGATTATCCGCAATCATGATTTTCCGTTACTTGATGCCGAGCTGCTGTCCGTGGGGTTAGGGTCCATGTGAAACTTCACAAAAACCTCCCTCGTAGTGAGCATGCAAGAAACGCTGCCCACACAAGTTACCCTACAAATTAGAACTATGTTTACTTGGGTGTCACTATCTTCTTCAGCTCTTGGTCTTTAGCGTTTATCGCGCACTCGGTTTATCGATTAAGGCTCTCTTGCGCCCGAGTTATCGTGAATGTGACAGAGTTCAGGGAAAAAGAAATGTATTAGACAATGGTCTTAACGGGAAGCTTACTTTCAAGCTGGATTAAGTCCCGAAGAAAGGGCCGTAAGTGATCAGGTTTCCAATCAGAAAAACGCGGGGCTTCATAAACATACAATCAATTGTGCGACATTTCAACTGCCTTTGATTTTGCATACGAAGCCAGACAAATTTGTCCCCGGTTCCTCAAATTTCATGAACCGATTTTCCCGTGAGTCTGACAGCGGAAACGGACCTAATGTATCCATTATACATATGGTGATGCGATACGCATTTCGGAAGAACAAGTGGGGTACCCACTATCACTTGCCGTATTCTCTGACCAACAAGGTGTCCACCCCGGTTTTTTTATTTTAGCTAAGTACCACTCACTACGCAGTGATTATGCTCTACTTGTTGCTGTGTTTCTTGAAGGATGCGAGGACTCGGTATGAGCTTGTTTCAGTCGATACAATATCTTGCGAAGTACGATCGCTGATTTGATGAATAATTTGGGGGGGGGGGG